TTTAAAAGGAAAAGTTAAAGGGTTGCATGAAGACAGTCACTGTCAGTCATTAAGCCAAAACTTGTAAATGCTCCAAACAGTTATATTGAGTCAATGAATATTTAAACTTTGGTTACCCTACTTTTTACACACCTTGACAAATTTTTTAAAAAGTAGAGTAACCAAGCTCCAAGTAGGGCTTCCCCAAGTAGGGCTTTCCGCCTGCAAAGTCGGAGACCTATGTTCAGTCCCTGGGTTGGGAAGATCCCATGAAGAAGGAAATGGCGACCCACTCCAGTATTCTTGCCTGGAAAATCCCATGCTCAGAGAAGACTGGAGGACTACAGTCTATGGGGTCCCAAAGAGTCAGACATGACTGAACACTAACACTTTCACTACTCCACTTTTTACACACCTTGAGCAATTTAATTTCTGTGCCTCAGTCTCTGCCTCCGTAAAATGGGGACCTAATATAATCCTTGAGAAGAGTGAGATGATACATGCAAAGCAGTAGGGACAGTACCTAGTAAAGAATAAATGTTCGATTAAATGTTACTTACTATTATTTTTCAGTGATTCTAATTAACTAAAATGATTATAATGACTTACAAAATAAAAATATTCACTGTAATGTTACATTTTTATGAAGAACAAAAACATACATTCACTTTTATTACAATAATGTAAAATATACTCCACAGTTCAAAAAAGCCATGCATTTAAAGCATTTATTGCTCACCATGTTACCAGTATGAATGTACATAAGCATGGAATAAGCAATAGGTCCCAATCAGAAGAGAAAGGAAAAAACAAAAACAGAAAATTTCAATTCAGGGTGAGGCGTATGCTAGAAAAGAAAGCATGGCATTTCATCATTTAGTCCAGTTGAGGGTTTGGGGATGGAATCCTGGTTGAGATTATGTCAGATCTGAGACAAAGTATGAAGGAGAAAAGAAGGTTAAAATTCCCATACGGCACCCAAATCTAAAAATATAATGAAAAAAAGTACCTGTGTAGAAAGAATAACAATAACTTGAAAATACCTAAGAATAATTATAACAGCAACGCCCCCCCCAAAAAAATCAGACCAAAGGTAATAAAAGAAACCTTTTCTGAAGGACGAAAAACCCCCCAAAATACGTTGAAAAACAAACCATTTTTCCATCTGCAAAGTATCAGAGAACTGTGAATCCTCCTTCAAATTAACCTATGATACAATGTAATTCCAATCAAAATTCTAACAGGACTTGACAAGAAGATTCTAAAGTATATCTGAAGGAGAAAATGTATCAAGAATAACCAAGAGAATTAAAATAAAACAGAACAAATGGATCTCTGTGCTATAAGACAATAAAATAGGTTCCCAAGCTACAAAAATTTTAAAATGTGTTATTAATACAGGAATGGCTAAACTGCCCACAGGGAAACAGGGAAATTAGCATAGGATAACTGGTTTAGCAAATCACAGTGAAGTACCAAGACTACTGAACATTCAGGAAACATGTTATAACCTAAAATCCCCCAAAGATTCAGATGTAAATGTAAAATGGCAAAACTATAAAAGTAACAGAGCACGAGCCAGATGCGGGCTCTCCTACTAGAAGCCTTCCTTGTAGAACGCCTTTCCTATGCAAGATAAAAAGCTCATAGGACCCAGACGACAAAACTGACTACGAAATATTGAAACGCTTTTCCTATACAAGAAAGTGAAGTTGCTCAGTCGTGTCCGACTCTTTGCGACCCCATGGACTATAACCTACCAGGCTCCTCCGTCCATGGGATTTTCCAGGCAAGAATACTGGAGTGGATGGCCATTTCCTTCTCCAGGAGATCTTCCCGACCCAGGGACTGAACCTGGGTCTCCCGCATTGGAGGCAGACGCTTTACCATCTGAGCCACCAGGGAAGTCCCCTTTCCTATAAAAACACCCTATAAACATAAAGCCCCAAACTGGAGGCTCACAAGGCCAGTTCTTGTTGTTGTCGACTTGTTTTTTAAATGGAGTACGGTGCCAGCATTTAAAAATTACGATGTCTGGCGACACCATTCCTCACACCTATGGCAATAACTGATGCTGGGAGGGATTGGGGGCAGGAGGAGAAGGGGACGCAGAGGATGAGATGGCTGGATGGCATCATCGATTCGATGGATGGGTTTGGGTGGACTCTGGGAGTTGGTGATGGACAGGGAGGCCTGGCGTGCTGCGGTTCATGGGGTCGCGAAGAGTCAAACGAGCGACTGAACTGAACTGATGGCAGTTAACAGCTGTGGGCGCGATGTGGCGCCCTCTTGCGGTGGGTTAGTAACTGCAGTTCATCATAACGCTTCCAAACCCCTCTACTCACCGGCTCTACCTGCCTGGTCACTTCTGGCATTTCATTTTTGACCTTCATGATTTTAAAAAAAGGGCAGATGAAAAACCTGTGCAACATTACCTAACAGATAAGAGTTATTATCTACACAAGAGAATTTCTAAAATGAATACAAAAAAGGTAAGCCAGTTTTTTAAAAACTGGGAAAGGCCATTTATAAAAGATACACACACATGGCCAATACATATGAAACAATCTCTCTTCCAAGCAGAGATATTCACACCAGTGTTTTTGTCCATTATAATGGTAAAGATAAAAAATGTTCATAATGTCTTATCTTGGCAAGAATTTAGAAAACTGGCAAGCTGAAACACTGTTGCTAAGAGAGGCAATTAGATCAATTTTTGATGAGAAATTTGGCAGGAGCTACCAAACTTTAAAATGCATGTATACTTTGTTCCATCTATCCAGGGATTCCAGGCATTTGCCATATAGAGCTAACGTATACCAACTAAGATAGGCACACATATTTGAAGATGTTCAATATGGGATTTTTATAATGGCAAATGGAAGTAACCTAAATGCTCATGAAAAGGGAAGAACTGATTATAGTACTGTGCATCCATAGGCTGGAATACTACACAGCCATTAACAAGAGAGAGGTGGGTCTATATTTGCTGACACAGAAAAAAATCCTCAGAGTGGAAATACCAAGGGCCATAATAATCAGCATAAGCTAAACAATTTTGCAGTAAAAATATGTATAAGATGCATATACACCCCAATATGTAAATATATACATATATATCTTCCCCTGTAAACCATTACTGTATTTATAAATATAATTTGTGATGTACATTGTGTATTTATATATTTACATTAATATGTCTATAGATATACATTTTTTTACTCTGTGGTTTTTCAATGTCAGTTGCAATTTTTCTAAGCGTGTATTCATGCATTACTGGAATGCTTTTTTTTTTCTCCCTGAAGAGGACAGTAAGCAGTTCCCGCAGGGGTGGCAGGGAAGGACTACCAGGGATTCGGAGAGAAAAAAGAAAATTGTGAGTTGCTGTGTTAAGAGTTGTGGAGCTGGGTTTGTGTGCTGAGCACCAAATGTATAGCAGGAGATATGGAACAGAGATGCCAACCTGCTGGGCCTTCTACCCCGATCTCAGCATCGTCTATCACCACTGCATGCTCCTTGTTTGCTTCCAAAAAAACTCTTAGAATCCATTTTCTAAGACCCATTTAAAAGTAACACTGTGTACACTGTATAAACACTGTATACACTGTATAAACACTGTATACATTTAAAAGTAACACTGTGATATCAGATTTTCAATACAGCAGTGTAAATAATGCACTAGAGAGGGGACAGAGGAAAATATGCCAACCTGTAGATGGTTATCACCTCTCGCAAGGAGGAAGTAGTAGTAATGATCTTTCTGTCTATGGCCATACTACCCTGAACACGTCTGATCTTGGAAGCTAAGCAGGGTCAGGCCTGCTTAGTACTTGGGTGAGAAAAGTGACAGTCTTTCTGCTTCTTCATTCTTTGCCCTTTAACCATGTTTTTGCTAGAACAACTATGCATTTTTTACCATGAGAAAACAAACAACACGTTCCAAACTGAATTTTGTATTTTAGTAGAAATAAAGCAAGTGTACCCTCCCCCACTCAGCCTCGCGGGGCACCTTAAGTCAAGTAAATCTGTGTAATGACCTTTTCATTCTTGTTAAGACTTTCTTTGCGTAGTTGTGAGTCCCCCAACTCCTTGTTCCACACTTCAGGGAAGGAACCATGGTGGAGGGGGGGGGGGGTTTGAGATGGACACAGATGGGCCAGAAGAAAGGGCATGCCTGTCCTTTCTTGGGTTACATTGATTCTTCTCCCCACTTCTGAATGGCTCTGGGCCATCTTGGGTTCTGCGATCATTTCTTGTTGTTTTTTTTTCCTACCACTTCTTCCTGTAATGCTCTTTGCCCTTGTTTTCCTATTCCATCCCTGACTCGGTTCCCTCTTCCTGCCCCTGACTTCTTCCTTTTCCTTTCTTCAAGTCACCCAAGTGCATGTTGAGAGGGATTTGCAGGATGGAAAGGGAGAAGGTTGGGGTGGATGACCATGTTCTAATGCTGCAGGTGACCAATGCCAGGCTCAAGTCTTGGGTCCATGATGAAGACTGTCTGGGAAGAAAAGTGAGACGCAAAAGAGAATAAAAAACAAGGAAGGCAATCCTGGACAGCTAACATTAGTAGAAGTCTAATGATTATTTTCTGATCACAGATTGGTAAGCTTCAAAGTCATCAACAAGAACATCCAAAGTCAGTGTTACAGGTTACTGCCCCGTGTGTCATTATAATCAGGATTAGTTCCTAAAAGAAAATAAAAATAAAATCAAAATTAAAGAAAGTTTTCTTTGGAAGTACCCTTCTAGGAAAACCCAAAAAAGGCAATTCGTCTGAAGGCAAAATACTTGCTAGGAAAATCACTCAGCGAGCTGACATCCTTGGGGGCCTCTGCTTCTCTGCAATTTCTTAGTTCATTGGGAACTTTGCCAGAGTCAAGGCCAACACCGCTCCCGAGCAAACCATTCCCATCTCAGAACCACCTCTAGCGGCTGCTGTTGACTCCAGTGGAGTCAACGTGAGGGGCACGGCTTCCGGCACAGGCGGATGCGCGGGAAGGCAGTGGCCGGCTGGTGCTTACCTCTTCTGGTTCATGGAGGCCACCTGCAGCCACTCGTTGGTGCTGGGGTTGTAGGAATGCGCCGCGGAGATCTCCTGGCTGGTGATCCTGTACCCGCCCACGATGAAGAGGTAGTTGTCCAGGATGGCAGCCCCGTACCCCCTGACGTTCACCAGGTCGGGAGGAAGGTTGTTGGCCAGCGGGAACCAGCGCTCCGTCATCTCCTCGTACCTGAGCATGGACGGGGGCTCCCCTTGGTAGGGGTGAGGGGCCAGGGGGCCCCCCAGGAAGTCCCCCAGCGCCACGAGGACGGGGGTCCCGGTCATCCGGGCCTCTCGCAGCCTCTGCTTCAGGCTGACATCCCCGGGGGCCGGAGGAGACGAGCCCAGGAGGTGGAACTGGGGCTTGCACAGCACCTCGTGGAAGTGGACGGCCATGAAGCGCAGGCAGGCCTCCTGCAGGTCGGGCAGCCCGTACACCTGCGCCAGGCGGTACAGCTCCAGGCAGTTGGTGAGCCGCACCTGGGACAGCAGCAGCTGCAGCAGGGACGTGACCTGCAGGAAGGAGGCCGCCTCCACCAGCTCGGACAGCAGGCTCGCCTCGTCCATGTCCTCCTCCTCCTCCTCGGCCCCGCCGCCCGGCTCCCCGCGCCGGCCCAGCAGCCAGCCCTCGCGGGCGCCGCCCGCGTTGATGAAGTCCAGCACCAGGCGCAGGCCCGGGGCGCTGAGGCCACGCAGCTGCTGCACCTCGGGGCCGCCGGCCTCCGGGCTCAAGGCCTCGCGCATGCCGGAGCGGTAGAGGGCGCGGAAGTAGTCGCTCTGCTCGATGAGCTTTCGCTTGCTCACCGGGTAGCAGCGGTCCTCCAGGCGAATCTGCACCATCTCGTCGGCCGACATGGCCGGGGGACCCGGGGCGGCGGGGGCTCCCGCCAGCTCTGCGCGCTCGCCTTCGAGGCGGCCCCTCCTCCCGGTCCCGGGGGCGGTGGCTCGGCTTCGGCACCCCCCCGCCCCGGCCCTCCGGCCTCCGTCCGCGCCAAAAAAGGCCGGGGCGGCGCGCGCTGCCCGCTCGGGTCGTCCCGGGCCGTCAGCCGGGAGGGGATCCCAGCCCCCAGCCGCAGCCTCCTCCCACGCCCGGCTTCTCACTTCCGCCCGCGGGACCCCCGCCGCCGCGCTCCGGCTTTCAGGGAGGGCAGGAGGTGGTGGGTCTCGGGAGCCGGGAAGGCGCCTCCCCGCGTCCTCCCCCGCACGCCCGGCGCCGTGACCCTGTCGCCCGCCGGGGCTGCAGCGCCGCTCCGCGCGCTCGGGGGACGGAAGGAAGCCTGGCGTTCCACCGCGCTTTACCAGCGGGAAGGAAACGCAAGGGAAAGGGGCGTGGGAGGAAGGGGATGAAATGAGTCGAGGTCTGGGGAGTCAAAAAGACATCACGCGTGGGGTCGCGCATCCGACCGAGTCCGGCCTCGGGTCCAGGGTGAGGACCGAGGCCCGCGGGCCGTCTCTGAACGCGTAGGCGGCACCTCGGGCTGATTCCTCGGAAGGGTCATCGTGGAGGAGCCATCTTGCAGGAAAAAGGGCCTGCCGGCTGGCCGCAAGTTGTGCAGGGCCGAGCGCGGGGCGCGGATGCGCGGGGCTGCGAAGCAGAGGAGCGTGTGCGCGCTGCTAGGGCCTGTGCGCTTTGTGCTATTAAAAGAAAGAAGTACGACTCGATAAACGTAGATCAGATGCCTTCTATCAAAATATTTTCTAACAGCCATTGCATTCCGTTTCATTTTGGTGGGACTAGCCACCCTGGAATGTTGCCTGTAGGCAAAAGGTCTGGCGGCTTTTGCTCCTATTTTCCTACAGAGGTGGTTTTTCTGGCCACCCTCTTACCCCTCCCTGATCCCTGACCCCCGCCAACTGAGGACCACTTAAGCAAGGCTTCTCCTTCCCCATCTTTTCCCACTGAACACTGCAGGTAGAAAGCTCACCTCAAATAAGGGTCTTGTGTCGCTCGTAAGAGAATTAATCCTAGAAATAGGGAGTAGGTGTTAATTATTAGGTTACGTTTGGGTAGAAGAAGGGTTAGGATTGGGAGGGAATTGTGTGTGTGTGTGTGTGTGTGTTCACTCTTAACAAAAGCCCTTTGGAAACTTTCTTTGACCGGAGATTGAGAGCCAAATATCCTCAACCTGGGGAAAATATGTCCTTGGATTTTTTTTTTAACCCGCTTCATCTTTCTTCATGAATGACAAAGCGTTAAATAGAAACTTCTTCATGAGTACAATGCCCCATATTTCAATCAAAAGATAACCTCCTACAGTGCTGATTAACATTTTCTGTTAGGAAGTTGTTGTTTGTTCAGCTGCTAAATCATTTCAGACTCCTTGCGACCCCATAGACTGCAGCCCACCAGGTTGCTCCGTCCATGGGGTTTTTCCGAACAGGAATACTGGAGTGGGTTGACATTTCCTTCTCCAGGGGACCTTCCCAACCCAGGGATCTCCCCCGTCTCCTGCATTGGCAGGTGGATTCTTTACCACTGAGCCTCCAGGGAAGCGATTATGTTAAGGAGGGGAAAGGTTAAAAACCAGAGAAGGAAGTCATATCCTAAAACATGAAATCCTTTCAACACGTTGTTCAGTTACATGGTGCTTCTTTCTGTGTGATTTAGGGCTTCCCAGGTGGCGTACCTGATGCAGTGGTAAAGGATACACCTACCAGTGCAGGAGACATGGGTTCAATCCCTGGGTCAGGATGATCCCCTGGAGAAGGAAATGGCAACCCACTCCAGTATTCTTGCCTGGAAAATCCCATGGATGGCGGAGCNACTAGCACACACACTGTGTAATTTAGCTGCTTCATCATGAGATATTGTCATCCCTTATTTTCTTTATACTACACTATGAAGAAGTGAAGTGAATGTCGCTCAGTCATGTCCGACTCTTTGTGACCCCGTGGAGTGTAGTCTACCAGGCTCCTCTGTCCATGGGGTTCTCCAGGCAAGAATACTGGAGTGGGTTGCCATTTCCTTCTCCAGGATATCTTCCCGACCCAGGGATCGAACCCGAGTCTCCCGCATTGGAGGCAGATGCTTTAACCTCTGAGCCACCAGGGAAGCCCACGCTATGAAGAAGGAACTAAAAATTTAAAGACAGAGAAGAAAATTCTAGTAGATTCTGGCCTCCCTGGGAAAAATGAAGGAAACAAAGATGGACCTATGACTTGTTTCTTTCAAGGTACTTCCTTGGATTCTGGGGGAAACTTCTAGCGTTCCCTTTGTTTCACGTGGCCTTTAGATCATTACTGATAAAACTCCAGTCTCATGTGGGACCTCTCACTCTTCGTTCTCAATGAGCAAGTAGTGGAGACATCTAAGGTTCTTTGTGGGTGCGTGATCATGAGTGTAGCATCCTGTTTGGAAAGGCAGTGATTCACCTCCAGTGTTAAGCTGGGAAACTTTGGCCAGGAGGCGCCCCTTGTGTCAAAGAGTCTTGAACCTGGAATTTGTGCCTCCATCAGCAACAATGCCTGATTCAGTGAGTCAGCTAAGAACAGGCTCTTAGTCTCTCCTCAGTCCCTTTAGAATCTTTCACCGATGGATACTTTTGTTTCCCAGGCGTCATAGATATGCCTCAGACTGGTGTTTTCTTGCTTTTTAAAAATGGACCAAAGGAAAAAAAAATCACGCTCAAAGAAGCACATGCTTTACAAAGTAATTCACGCCCAGCAATATTATCAGAGCAGATCTTGGGCAGGTAATCTAAGGTGTCAGTTTGACAGTACTAGGTGCTGTCCTGTATTGGCCCCTGACGTGATAGTAAGGTCATCTAGAGTTGAAAGTCTCTTAAAGATTGAATCATTTTAATAACTCATGAAGTAAGTTTTCTGTTAAGCTAGAAATGCAGTCAAAACAATATAAACTTTATTTACCAAAGATCTAAAATTACTATTGAGCTTCATGAAAATGTTGCTTGTCTATAACTGGAGATACACTTTTATAGATCTGTTATTGATTGATCTGTTATTGACTGACCTTTGTGGCACCATGATTCACTTCAAACACATAACAGTCTGTTTTACTAAAATCTAAAGTAACGGTCAAACACAAAGTTAGACTATTTCTTTAGGAATTTATGAATGGACTTTCCTGGTGGTCCAGTGGTTAAGTCTCTGGGCTTCCACTGCAGGGGACACAGGTTTGATCCCTGGTCTGGGAACTAATGGACTTCCCTGGTTGCTCAGACAGTAAAGAATCTGCCTGAAATTCAGGAGACCAGGTTTGATCTGCATTGGGAAGATCCTCTGGAGAAGANGAGGAACTTTCATTTTTTCTCTCTTCAAGGAACTAAGTTGCTTGGTACAGCCAAAAGTAAGAAAAATAAAAATTAAAAATTAAATTAAAAAATTTATTTTAAAAGAAAAATGAAAGAATTTATTGAAAATATACCTTTTGACCTAGAATAGAAAAAAATCAAAGTACAAGATGTTTATCACAGTGTTGCTTTGAATAATAAAAGATTGAAAGACAACATGTAATGATAGCAGTAGCTAACATTTATTGAATGTTTATTATATGTTGTAAGTGCTTTACATGGATTGCAATCTATTTTAATACTCTTCTACAGCTGAGGAAGTTGAAGTGCAGAGTAAATTTTGGTATATGAGTAGAATGAATACCATAGAACTGTTACAACTTTGGATGCAGAGTTTTCTTTAGAGACACTGAACATATGATTTTACACTGGATTTTTTAAAAACAGTTTTTGAAACAGTATGAATCCATTTTTTTGTAAAATTGTACATGTGTATTTTTTTTTTGGAGATGTCTGGAAGGATGTTTACCAAAAGAGTTAAGATTGTGAGATCTTGAATGGTTATTTCTTTTTGTACTTTTCTGTATGATTTGGGTTTTTAAAGTGCATGTTCATCCTCAGTCACTCAGTCATGTCTGACTCTCTGTGACCCCATGGACTGTAGCCCACCAGGCTCCTCTGTCCACTGGGATAATTATCCCAGTAAGAACACTGGAGTGGATTGCCATTTGTATATCCATTTAATAAAAACAAAACATTTTAAGAAAATTAATGATATATCCCAATTTTTCAGGCCCCATTTTTAAAAATGATTTCCATCAATTTTGTGAACTGGCGAAATGAAAATGTTAAGTAAATACTACAATTACTGTCTTTTAAAAAAGATGAATTATTGACTGCTTTTCAAACATCTTTTGAATTTAATGTCTGCTGTTACCTCACTGCCACTTAAAAATTGTTTATATCTGTTTTTCAGTCCCTCCAGCATTTCTAAAACAGTTGTTTCCCTTTTGTTTTTTAACGAGCAAGACTGAAATTTCTTGCTTTCATTAAAGCATGGAGGCAATTTCAATGTTTAAAGCAGAGCAGTTAAATGGCTGTGTTCAATTCGGGCTGAGCATCTTCATGGAGCCGAAACTTGCACTTATTTCAGTGTTTTCCAGACGTCTTAGGGAGTCACCTGAGACACTTCATATAAAGATAAGAACTCTGGTTCCCATATCAGAGCTACTGAATCTGGCTCTTGGGAGGAAGGTTCCGGTCCCCATCTCAGATCATTATAGTTTCCTCCCTCTGCCCCCGCTGTTCTGTTTTTAATCTCTCCTTTTCAAAATAGCCGACTCCAAGAAGTTACCTGTTTCCAGACCTGGTGTTTCTCAATCACCCCCCAAATTTGTTGTAAAAAATTTAAAGCCTGCTTTTACATTGGAACTTGTAGATTCTTTAAAATGAAACCTTGATCTCCCCGTGGACATCATCTGAGAGCAAAAGGATTAAACAACTGTGGATTGTTCCCTTACCCCTGCCAGAAACATGAGCACTTCAAGGAATTATATATCACAGAAAAGAAGCCACATTTAATGTGACTGAAAGATGTGGAGGTTA